CACACACACACACACAAGCAAACCTGATGGCGAGCCCAACAAAGTAGGCTTAGACTAATTAAAGTGATTAGGTGTTTTTGTCTGAGTACCGTCTTGGTTTCCTGGCTCTGGCCTAAGCCATGCCCGGCCAGCCTGCAGTCTGCCTGCCAGGAGGCCAGGAATGAAAGGCTGGCACTTACCCTTCTCTCCTCTATCTGATCCCCTGTTGCTACCCTAGATGCCAACAAAGGTATTTCTGCCCCTAATCGACAGACAGGGAGAGTAAGGCAGTAGGGCTTAAAATCACAATAGTATTAAGCATTAAGATGATTTTTCTAATATTAAACTGGATATGTTTGAGCCAAATTAGTGCCTTAAAATGTTTATTAAACATTTTTTCCCATTTAATCTTCATTTCATGACTTAAGTGAATTTACTAAGTGAAATCAATACATGCTCATATCTTCTCCTGGATCTATTTGATCTGGCTGTTTCTCACAGAAAGCAGATAGACAGTCCTAATATATTGCACTTTACTGAATCAAGACTGGTGACACACTTGGGAAATTTGGGAAAATAGAGTCAGAACAAAACAAAGACGAGAGCATGACAAAGATAGGGATGAAGAGGAAAACTCTCTTTGGCATGTTCGATATCCGCCTGTCTCAATTGACCTGTAAAATCTTCGAGACTGGAACAAATGCAAATAGCGCTGACTTGCTCGCACCAAAAAATCCTGAAGGCTTTTCAAATGAACTCACTCTCACAATGGTGGGGTGCCCAGAGCAGGGTGAATAGATGGTCTGAGCTCTGAATGGCACAATGTGTGTGAGCCAAACAGGGGAGCTGTGAAGTGAAGGCTCAAGACCCACCAGACTGCCTAGCACTGTTGGGCTGAACCTCGGCTGCTACAAAGCTGACCACCACCAACAGTCCTCTGCTCGGAAAATGCCTGGCTTACACTGCATCACAGGCCTGAGCTCAAAAGGAAAACTAAATTAAATGGAAATTTAAATCAGAAATTACTAATATTAATAATTTTAACATTAAAAACTAATGTGGTAAGATAGGGACATAGCCCCCCTAAAATTCTAATGTGTAGAAAGTGTATTTTTAAGGTAAGTGAGCTTCCTGTAAAACAGGGCAACACTGAAAAATAGTAACTATTCTCAGTCAATCTCAACTGGATGAATTAAGAATAAAAAGTCGCTTTCTGACCTGAAACAACTCACTATAAAGCAGGTCCTTAAACTAAAGGTTTAGCTGCAACCTCCTTACACATTTGTCCCATGGTTACACAACAAATCTGACAGTAAATAGGTTTTAATTCCTGTCAGTCATCAGCCATGCAACCTGTTGAAGAAGATATACTAAATGAAAACAGGAGATTCTAATGCTACAAACAGTCCTTTAAAAATATGGATTGATTCCTTTCTCTATTTTCTCAGTGCACATGTCACCTTTGTACCGTAAAATCAAGTTTTCTGTTATTGCTTTTTTAAATGTCTTAGCACCAATGTAGGTAAATGGTTAAATCACATAATCTTGAAAATAATGTTAGCTTAAAATAACACACTATTTAATAGATATAGTGCTAGTGTTATTTAACAACTAAATTACATTACTTCAGTCATTATTCCTCTCCAAATTGAATTCTCTAACGTCATAATTATTGCAGTAAATTCCTATTAGTATTTTTGCAATTTTGAGCAAACGTATCTAATGTAACATTCTTCCTAAGCACTTTTCTCTTTGCTTCTCTCTGCTTATTGTGAATATCAATTCTACAACATATTTACAATTTTAAAAACTTTATAATTGATGCTGAAAAACATGAGACTCAAATAAGTCAAATAAGTCCACACATGCTTTTTAAAATCCAGATCTGGCCATAACTTAACGTGGTTCATATACAGTACATTTTAAACAGCACTTCATTGTACAGCTCCACTTCAGCGTCCATGACTGAGGAATGTTTTGGCGATATCTCTTTAAGAGAAGGCCGAACTTACAGCTGTGAGAGCTCTCTGCTTTGCTGCTCCTCTTATTTCTACTTTCAAACTTCATTTTCAGCCCTTGCAAAGATTTTCAGAGCCGCTCTCTGGACATTGGCAGGCACTTTCACCAGCAGCCAAACTTCCCAGCATGCCTTGTGGCGGGGCTGGCTTTGTTCACAAAGTTAACTGTGAAGTTGCTCTGCTCAACATGAGTCACAGACTCTGCTTCACTCTTACCAGGTTTACATGAGATATGTCGGTTAATATACTGTTAGAAGAATGACATTTTCACATGCATATTGTATTTACAGCTCCTAATTCTGCACTGTCTCTCATTATACCAATATTATTTCAAGAATCTCTTACAAGTTTTGATGCATGACTAGTATTTGAAAGTTGTGGTTATAGCTGACTTATAATAATGTTTTATATGAAATGTCTTCTTTCATCTCTCCAAATACTTGAATTAAACCACTGGAATTAAGGACATATCTTCAATCACACTGCCCTCAGTCCATTTTCTGTAACAGATGCATCATCAAAGCTACTTAATAACCCAAAATGGGACCTATTTTCTATGATGCACAGCTATATTACATTTAATCCTAACACCATGGAAACGGTTCCAATTCTTTTCTCCAAAGTGGATATTACATCTCTGCTGGATGACATGCAAGGGACAGTACAGCCTGCCTGCAGCATCTGGTGGACACCTGCAAGACTGCAAGTCACTGGAGTGAATAAGAGAGGTCTTTGTGATTCTGCTAAGTCACCAAAAATCTGGGCCAGAGAATACTGACCCTCAGTGCTCCAGCCAGTTCCGAAGCTTTCAGAACGGCAGTCATGTAGTGTATTTAACCTCAGTGTTCGATCACTAAATCAAAGGCAACATAAATAAAGAACAGTCAGCAAATGGCAATAAAAATATCAACACCAATCTGGTCAGCCACACAAGACTACTAGGTACTAGGAAAGGAAAAGAACCTACTCAGATTAAACTCTGGGTTATCAAGGAAAGTCCGGGTTGACTATGACGGTAGAAGATGTGAGTTAGTTGAGTCGGTGTCAACTAAATCTGGTTGTCTGTGTTTGCATGGGGGGCGTGTTCAGCAGTGCAGGAAACGTTTTTTCATCATGGCTCGTGCTCCATATTTGTTCCCAGAAGAATGTACAATGATAATATCAGGATATAAGGAGTTTAAAAAAAAGTTAACAGGGACTAATCTCACTGCAGTAGCAGGGAGGCTTGTTGGCAGCACATTGTCAACAGAGTAAATTCACAAGTAACATCATAGTGTTCATGTCGTAGGTTCTCTATTTCTCTCTTACGGATTCTTCTTTTCTTTGTGGTATGATTCAAAGCAGCTGCGGTAATTTTGCATGATTAAAGAGGTGAATTAAAGGAATAAATATCTCAGAAATTGACCCATTAATTAATTAACAGGGATTAAAGCAAGAAAGTGAGTTTTTGGGGAAAAATTTACAATATATTGAATTAAGTAAAATCATTTAAAACTTCTCTATGCCTGAAATCAGTCATGGTGCCTGATAATTTGAAGCCCTGAATTAAAATCTACTCCCTAAAGCACCGAGGCTGAAGGGCCACCTGTGCGAATGTAATTCTACTGTTAGAATAAGTGTACAGTCAGTCACACCAATCACTGGATTGGATTCCTTTGGAAATAAAGTGTTCTGTACATGGGCCAAGTCTATGTATATTAAAGTATTTCTATATTGTGAATTACCTGCGACCGCATAAAAAGCCTCTTTGATCATTATAACAATTAAATGGGAACATAACAGATGCCTTCTGGCCCTAGAAGCTGGCATAGATAGTGAATTCCCTCAGATGAGAATTGATATCTTTTAGAGAGAACATCAGGGCTAACAGGGATTTTGACGGTCTCTTAACACCCTCGCCCTCCGCTCTCCACAAGATTGCGGGCAGAGAAGAGGTGGTTTATAAGGTAACATTGAGTTAACCATGAAGATAACCAGCTCGGAGCAGTTATCGGAGCGTAAATTGCCATATTATCCACCTTTAGCGGCACGATTTAGCCTGGAGGTTACACCTGACGTCACAGAGTTACTCCCTAAATTACCTGGATAGATAGGCTTTGTAGTACAGCCCTCAGGTTCTTGGAGTGGGCAGCAAATCAAGTCCTGCCATGTTTAGTTGTTTGACAGAGCAAAAACAAGTCACAACTACTTGTGCACTTTTTAATCTCACTTTTATGCACTTTTATCTCTGGAGTATAAAGAGAAAGGGATTTAGAACTGCTTCAGGTCTTAAAAACCTTTTTAACTTGAGATAATAGTTTGTGTGTTTTTGGCTTTCACTACTGTAATGTTTTATCATAAAACAAACAGTTCTCTGACAGAGATTTCAAATACTGGCATGTATTGCATGGCTGTTATATTTCACAGATTGTCAGGTTATTGTGTTCGTATAAAAGTACTCACAGTGATTGTTTCAGGGCCTTTTTTCTTTTGATTCATTGATCTGTTTGGTAAAGAAAAAACAAAAACAAAAAAACATTGTCAGTGTGTGGGGAAAAAAATGAAAGTGTGTCTGGTGGCAAAATCTTTAGCTCTCAAAGACAAATAAAATTGGTTCAACATGTGTTTTAGCTCAAACACTTTCAGACCTGTATCCAGTGTGTGCTGTTAGCACTTTCATTTATGAGAGCTAATCACTACAAGTGAACCAGATCACAAAGGGACAGTCACTGACACCAGAGCAATTACGTTGTACAGGTCTAATCCCTTACACAGCACTTAGGGCAGTTTTAAAGGCCACCAGGGCACAGTGTGGAGCTCCCTTAACTGTTAGGGTGCAGTTTGGTCCATTTTACAGCCACTGGGGCACAGGCCCGATTGTTAAGACAAGGGAAAGTAATCCCTAGAGTCAGGCCACTAAACCTGCTCTGTCCCTGTAACCATGGCAGCAGACAGGTAGTGTCTGGGTCACAGGGCAAACATGGCCTGGCTTCAGCATTGGCCGTCGGTTAATAAAAAACGAGCCTCGCATACGGGCAAACAGAAATGCAAACGTGAACGTACGTGCACCCACATAAACATATGCACTAACTCACACATGCAGGTTCAGGTGAAAGCTGCCAGCTGACCTGAGAACTGATACGACCACATAGCCGTACTGGATTTCAGGTAATCAACAGTGGCAGTGGATATTCAAGATGGCTAAAACACCCAATGAGTCGCAGGGACCGGTTAATGGTAAAAAAGGCCAAAAAATTATTCCTAGTTTTTAAAATAGTAAAACATTCGTAAAGTAATTCATCACTTTACATTTAGTCTTGGACATAAAATTTAATCATCCTTATATTCACTCACCAGAAGGGACGATGGATAGAGCAGGTAGGGAGGAAACGTATAAACTTATTACAGAAGCTGATTTTTCTTTCACAGAATGGTCTTTGCCACCAGAGCCCTCTCTCTGCCTCTGAGAATTTTCTTTTATAAATATTATGGTCTCATTACGTTACTCCATTATTGCATTATATTACATGTGCAGTCTAGGCACTCCTAAAATACATATTTTAAAAAATAGAAACATTTCGGGGAACACATGCTGCTACCCCAGGCCCCAAAACACTGTCATCTGAAATAAAGGCAATAAATAATGATGCGCTGGGTACGAGAAGAATCATCCAGTTGGTCTGTCTTGCCCTTTTGAAAGAAACACATGATCTCCCCTGGCCTTTTCTCCATTTACCAGCTCTCCCTCTCTCTTTTCAGTTGCTATGAGACACTCCAGCTGAAGCCAAGGCTTCCACAATTCATTACTGGAGGAACAAAAGCCAAAGCACTGGACAAAGCAGGGCAGACCAACTCAAACCAGCTCCCACTTAACACACACATCACACCTCTGAGTGCTCTGCTGACATACAAATGGCCAATTCAAGACCTCTTCTTTTTTTTTTTTTTTACAATGCCCGTGGGATAGATGAAGGAAGCGCTCAAGATACACAGTAAGAAGTCAACAGGTTGAAGTTTTGCCATATTTAGAGATCTGTTACCTGATGGTTCCTATATTCTTCATAGGACATGATTCTAGTCAGCATCAAAAACATTTGGAAGGATTTCAGGCATTAAACTATTTCTAAACAACAGAAAAAATAATGTTTAATGTGTCTTTCATAGTGTAACACACACCTTTTGTATGGATTTTGTGCCTAAGATTGAATAGGCTACAATGCACCATCAGTGCAACATCACCTGTCTCTGCCTTTCCACCAGCTCTGCCTCACCAAATCATGAGACATCTCTTTTCTCTCCAACCAATCAGATCTCAATCTGTGGCTGTTCTCATGCAAAGAAAGAGAAGGGAAGGCCAATAAGAAATGGCCCTCCTCCTTCCCCTCATATCCTACACACACGACAATCACTGTCTGAGAAATGCCAACGGACGGGCAATCAGTCATTGTAATTAGGCTGGCTGCCATTCCCGAGCCTTCATAATTCAGGCTGGAGCTGCAGGACATAGGTAGTGAGAGCCCAGCTGCCTGCTGCCACAGCCCACCCCTGGCTCACCCAAACCTCAACACAGGCCACTCCCTCTCCGCTCCCTCTGATGGGGGGACCAGCTGAATTATAGGGGGGGGGGGGAGGGGGCAGGCTGACTGCAAAATTAAAAACTCCCCCCATCTCCCTCCCTTCCTCCTTGTCTACATCCCAAAACCGCTCCCACTCACACTTTCTTTTCACTGCACTGCAGAGTTTTGTTCTCCAAACTGCATGAGTGCGAAAGCAGATACCTTGCACCGAGAAAATGGCTTTTAAAAAGAGGAAGGGTTTTAATCTAAACATATAAAATGCCTCTATAAAAAGTGGGCTTGTGTACTTTTCCCTGTTCATTTTTATTTGAAGGTGTAAAGCCTACAGATGGGTATTGTCCACACTGTTTTTAGGTGTAGGGAACACTGGATTTACAGTACAGACATGGCTTGTTCTTTTCTATTTGAAATTCACAGCTAAACAGGAAGCTATGTATGGCAGTATTCTGCAGCGATTTATTTTATTTGCCTAAAGGCCGTAGTTGACTCAGTAACTGGCTTTGCTTCTTGTATAGGACCTGAAGTTTTCTTGGCAGTGAAATGAAGAACTGCAAGTTCAGCCAAAATAGACAATAAAGCAGAATGGAGAAACATGCCAAATTGCTGGGGCAATTCAGTCCAGAGGCTCATTTTTCCAAAATGATTCACACTGGAAAGAAAAGCATTTCCCTGTCCTTAGATGAACTTAGTGTGCTCTCTGTCGGCTTTAACAAGGAAGCTGGGGAGGGAGGGAAAATGTGTGCACACTCAATCACACACAAAGACGTGCGTGTGCACACACACATACACATGACCACACAGCCATCACTGCAGATTCTTTGCTCACTGTGGAATTAGGTCATGCACATGAAAGCCTCAAACACAGACACACATATAAACACGAACTACTTTAAAAAGACATTTTCAAAGTCACCGGGGAAAACCACATGCATGATCTTTGCAACAAAAAACCCAAATAAGAACAGCCAAGCTGGGTTAGTGCCATTTTACATGTACTGTGTGTACTAACAGCTTGTACTATAACTATGAGAGAAATGTTTTTTTGCATGTATTCGGTTTTCAGTGCAGCAGCAGCACAGTTGAGGAATGAGGGAGGACTAAAGGCAAGTTTTGCATCAGTCAGCAGTGTCCTGAGGCTGGTTTATTGGCTTGTCTGGCTCAGCTGCCTGACAGTGTTCACCTGTTTCTGCCTCCCACTGTAGGATGACAGTCAACAGTCGGCTGCAGCACAGCAGGGAGCTCAAAACTTATTTGACACTGTTTGTCCATCACACACAAAGACTGCATTTAAAAAACAAATGCGAAATAAATAATACGCTAAAACAAATACCTAAGGCAGTAGCTTCTTATCAATAAAAGTCACAAAATAATAAAATCCTTTCACAACCAAAAATATAACAGGGCTTAAAAAATGCAGCCTGCTTCTGTATGTCAGCATAACATGATATCTAAAGCTTGTGATGGAGGAGTACGGGTCAATTTCTAAATATCCACTCATTAAGTCTCACAATAAAATTAGATCTTGCAAGCAAACATTAAGCATTAGGTTACATAGAAAAGATAAAAGCCTTCTGTAAGGTTTTGCCGGGAGCTTTTATGCACTCATAACTATGCTGCTACTAATGACAGTAAACATTTGTGCAGCTGTTTTGTAGTCTCTTAGTGATATGCAACAGATATTAGATGAAAAGAAGAAGAGAAGAAGAGATTGAAGACTAAAAATATGCATTAACCCCAATCTATTGTGTGGAAGTTATCACATTGTTAAGTTTCTTTTACTGCCAGACTAAATCTAAATGTGTTGAGGCCTTGCTTACTTATCAGATTATGTTCAAAAAATCTTTAATGGCTGCTGTAATATAAATAATCATCCACCCAGTGCTCAGTGAGCTTCAGACAGCTATTTAACTGATGAGCTCTACAAGCAGAAAAACAGCAACATTAAGAGGCACGCACACACATCTGGATTTATTTTTGTGAGTAGAATAATGGGAACTACAACTTAATGAAAAAATGACTTAATGCTGTTCCATACGTTGCTATTCTACAACAATAAATAAAGAATTTACAGTTATATTTCCTCTTTAGGAACGGCAAGTGAGACTGAAGCTAAACTGCAGAGTTGCTGAAGAGTTCTATGAGTAAGACACTCAATCTGTGACCTTTGACCACTGCAGAGGTTGGAGGTGGTGTCCCTTACAAGGAACAACAAGAACTTCAATGTTTTTATTATCAGTTTGAATGTGCAGTTTTACTTAGAAAAACGGTTTCAGAGTCTGAGTTTGGTTTTTGTGAGAAAATAAGTCTCATAAGTCTACCAAAAATCCCTATCTCATCCTCCATGTTCAAAATATCTGACATGAAAGATGTTTTCATAATGAAATGAGAAATTTCAGTTCTTTCTGAATTCCACAGACAGCAAGAAAGCCGTGCAGTCTGCAGGCGACAACGACAGGTCATTACAGTAGATGAAGTTTAGTGCTGGTGGATCGCAGGATTTTTTGTATTTTTTGTATTTTTTTGCCTCATACAGAACAGCCACAGAAACATCAAATTCATTACATGCACATTTATTTTATAACTTGAGTTTTTTTTTACTCAGGGCTCCTTGTAAATATACATACTGTTCAAATATTACCGATCCACACTAGATATTGCATCATATGGTACTAAACACACATTAAAGTTGCTTTAATATGTACTGAATTGTGACAATTATTGCCCTTGTGTTTTATGTTTTCAATAATTTCTTATTGGGTGCCCTTCCTCTCTCTGACCCAATAGTCTAATTTAAATTCAGTAAATTATATCTCTGTATATTTCTCTGGAGTCTTTGGGCCAGACCTTTCAGAGGGAGCTGAAGCTGCACCTCTGACTGGTGTCTTTATGCTGCATGAACAGTCTTCAGAATTACTGAGCTGAAACAACGAACCAACAATTCTCAGTTTCCTTAACACTGCAGCATCTCTCATATTAGCATGTTCCAGTATCACTACAAAACCCAAGAGTTTAAACAGAAACCTAAGTACTGTTGTGCTGCATGAATTTCCTTCCTCTGTGCTTTAGTTTTGCATTCACCGGCAGCATAAATTACACTGAACCTTAACACTGTTCAGTGAGTTACACCAAAAGCTTTATGCTTTTTTTTTTTTTTTTAAACTTTCCATGACAGTGAACCTGAAACCATATGACACCTACCAAAAAGGGGCACTGTGTACAAATACAGGAAATAAACTCACAAGACAAGAACCACATCAGAATTCAACTTTACACCAAAGCACCAGTGCAACATCTAGTTTAAAGTATTAGAACAAAATTAAAATCCCACATAATAGAGAAATGAAAGAAAGTATGATAATCTAATTCTTTTCAGTGCTACCCTGAGGGCTTTTAATGGAAAGTGACTCTGCCACCAGAGAAACACGTAAAGACAAAGTCAATTTCAAGCACAAAGGACACACTAAAAGCTTTCCCACAGATTACGCCTATTTGGCAAAAACGCGAAATTATTTAGGTCTACATTTGTTTTTGTTATTTTTATTTTTATTTTTTAACATTGTCGAAAATAAGTCACAACATGTCGTAGGACAAAGAAAAGTTGCAATGGACTCACCATAATAAAACGCACCATGTGCTTGTTGCTTGTCAGCTTCAAGTCTCCTCCTAGTGCGTCCACCGCGCAATAGGCTCAGAAAGCGAGCGGAAAGAAGCGGCATTTTAGGGTTATTCTCACCAGCTGCTGCTGCTGAGTGTTGTTTGGGGCGCTTCAGAAATTGTCAGGATGAGTGCGGCTGAAGAACTGTGCGTGTCACCGCCGCTCTCCATTTAATTGAAATAGCCTAGAAAGTGATCCTCGGTCGAGTTATAATCTACGAGGTGGTCTGACGACTGTCGTGAGGACGGGATTATGCACATCCCAGCGAAAGCTTTTCATCTCTTTCATCCGCTGCGCAGGGCAGGCTGTCCCCAATATCTCCGCACTACTGCATGGCGAATGTGACACTCCGCTGTGCGTTAAGGCAGGACTGCAAGCCAATAGGGGCTTTTGAGTGGTAACGTTTGTGGGGAAACAAAGCATTTATTTGTCCTCGTTTCGTTTTTGATAATTGTGCCTGTGCAGGATCAGGATCAGGTCTGATGTGCATGTGGCTGCAGTGGCTTTAATGCTGGGGAACAAAAACTTGCATGAGTTTGAGGTTCTGGAGTCGTGATGCCCACACAGTGTGAGTCATATGATTTGGTCTACATCCTGGCGGCAGGACGTATGAAAGTTAATATTTGATGCTAGATGATTGATCAATACCACACATCTGCCCTAGAGAAGAAGTTAGGAACTGATCTACAGAGTGTCAATCTGTAAATTGTCATTATCATACTTAATCAGCATGATATACTCTAAAGGTGGAGTATATCTAAATATTTTTTTTATTTTTTATTATAAATTAAAGTTGTGAAATGAACATTTTTGGTACCCCTCCTTATAAACAAATGCACATGTGATAAAGGCTTACTGTTGCTACAACAAATTCTCAAACAGATGTGCATAGCGCTGTGATCAGTGCAAAATTCTGCCTTTGGCAATGCAGTGTAGACTGACAAATGGAAGAGTAATTACTGTGAACTGCAATTTTAAACTTCATCATTATACTTTCTACTGTATTTCAGTAGTTGTCTGCCCGATTCGGAGTGCACTGAGAACACTTTAATGTTTCTTTGATAAACCATATGTCAGAAACACTGGAACAATCTGAGCAAAGGTTTTGTGTCTGTTTGTTTTGATTGAGTTGTGTCCCAAGTGTTTCTTAAAGGATTTTTGGAATTAACACAGCAGTCAAGCTCTAAGCATCCTCTGTGCAGTGTGCACTTAAAAAGTCAAGCTACTCACTCTGCAACCTTTCAGACAGACTGAGTGGCCTTAGGGATGTTTTAATGGTGACTTGAGCTATCACTCAGAATACCTCTCACTGTATCTTAAGTTGCACCTGTTGCATGAACTGGTCTAAAATACCAGACTTGACAGACACTAAACACAGGCTGCTCTGACTTTTCATCCTGAGCACACAAACAACTTTTACCCAGCAACATGTTTGTGCTCTAAATCCAGGCCACTTAGGCCTCTTGATCGCCTCTATTAATATGAACGCCACCTCTCACATTAACGTGACTCATGTTTCTGTGAGGCCTCACTGAAATTTATGATCATTTTGAGCCCAGTGCACCGCAGTGGCACAAGCAATGCAACCCTGTTGACCGCATACTGCATGGAGACAAGGGTAATGAGATTAGCTGTGCATGAGTGTGACCGTCGTTAGTGACGTGTCCTCTCCAGATTGTGTGTGCAAAGCTTTCAGGCTCTGTAGTTCAAGTGACAAAATCACAGCAGTTAGGAGAGCGAGGATTACTGGACGGGGTGATTGGGTTCACAGAGCAGCGAGCTCAGGGCAAGGGTTAGGCCTCACAAGCTTGTGCCAAAGGAAATGACCTAAAACGTCAGGGACTGTTCCCAGAAAGAATTTCCCTCCCCCTTAACGATATTAAGTAAATCCTATTTTAATGCATGGGACAGATAGGTCAGCCTCCTTTGCTATATCTACACATTTTAATGACTGTTTCTTAACAGACCATATCAAGCACCAATTAAATTGTTTTAATTTTTCTGAATATCTTTCTGCTTCTGTTAGGATTTCCTGCATTTCCTGGAATACCAGATGAAGGATGTGAACCTGTTGCGTGCCAACTTGTTATGAGCAGTGGGGTGTGTCTACCACTTACTCAAAATGCAGAATGTCTTGTGAGTTGCGATGCGTTCAGATCTATTGGAGCTTTCAAAGCTTTGCCTCTCATACTGTACTTGTACTTGTATGCTTAAGGTTTTAATGGATGTATAATACTGTATGAGTAATATAAAATTGCAGGTTAAGAAAGAAGTTATTATTCTTTAATTTAGCAAAAACTATTATTAAGTGTTGTTTCAAAAGTTTGAAAAGTCTGGTGTCAAACTTAATAGTCATGGGTCAAAATGATCAGTTGATTAATTGATCAAGTAATAAAGTAGCATCAAGTCAATTTTTATTCAGTTGCTTCAGTTGTGAGATTTTCTGCTTTTCCTTTATCTTATTGGTGTGTAACTGAATATATTTGGGTTTTATACTGTTGGTAAAAAAAAACCAAGTGATTTTGAAGATATCACATGATTGCAAAACATACATTTACATTTACATTTTTTAGACAAACAAAAATATGGATATAGAATATAGATGAATAAATGATTAATTGAGAAATGAATCTGCAAATGAATCTTAACTTGTGGTCCTAGTTGTGAAGCTGAAAATGATCAGTGTCATCAGACAGTTATTGTTTGGACAGACCATCTGTCGTTTAAATGTCAGCATAAAGCAAAAGGACGATTGTGAGCGAGACTGCGGGTCTTTTTTGTCTTTTGTGTTGATATAATTGCTATGCAGCACTTTCTAAGATAGACATGAATGTGTGTTTGGAATGCCAAATGACCTTAAAAAGAGCTATTTTAACAGCATCACATATTTAAAGATAGTGATCTCTTAAAACAATCTAAAGCTTGATCTTGTGAGACCTGTAAATCAGTCTTTAGAGCAGTTGTTGGCTAGAGCACACGCACGGACCACTGACACTGGCTGCACACGGAAAGCACCACAAGGTTTTGCCCTAAACACCCACCCGTCTGGCTGGTCCAGACACAGACGAAAGGACAAAGACACAACTATAATTCTGCTTGTCAAATCAAATCACTTTTGTTGACTTGATGTTAAACTGTTCAGGAGAGGCTTCTGCCTCAATGCTTTGAATTAAATGTTAACCACTGGATCATCAGTGTTGTGTACGTCAGGCAGAATGTTAACACTGCATCATAGGGCATTTCCCGAGGGAGTGTACGGAGAAGAAAGGTCACGATTTACGACACTGAAAGCATGAGATGGTTTTGTGTTTGCACAAGATAGACCTGATGCCCGTGTTCTGATCTATTTGAATGCTTAAAGAATGCACACTCCTTTTTTTTGTTATGTCATGTCCTCATTTTCAGTACTTGCACAAATACGCTAGCAAAAAGTGCTACATTGCTACATTTGCACATAAAAAACACAACTGATTTGGCAAGTTTTTGATTTACGTCATTATACTGATTTATAAAATATTAAGTATTGTATGGAAGATTTGTTTTTATCCCTAGGACAGCTGCTCTTAGCCTCCCCCCACTGCAGCAGCACGCAAGTTAACGGACTACATTTTGATTTTTGATTCAAAGTCACTCCAACCATTGTGCAAAGGACCCTGAATGCACACATCCTTACCCCGTTCCATACTTTGCTTCAGACAATGAATCTCTTATGCTGGTTGATCAAGAGTCCAGACACAACATGCTTGAAAATGCAAAACCACTTGATATTTAGATTAAGGATTACGAGTTACTCGTCTCATTGCTTCTCCTAGAATTCAATAGAGTTTACTACCATCCATAAGCATGTGAATTCCTGCTTTGGAGTAAAGTGTTGAGGTCGCCTGTGACTCTGCTAAGATGTTTTGCTTGAATTCTCATTGACCTCAGACTGTCTGGAGGCTCCTTGCACACTAAGCCATGCTTATTTGTAAACAGAGTGCTTTGCTGAAGTTCTCCATGCTCACCCTCCAACCTCTGAAGGCCACTTTGCACAAAGAGAGCATTCTCACTGATGTTTGGACCCTATTTCTGCTTTCTATAGAGTATATTTGTAGTAGAGGCCTCCATTTGCCCTGGATTGGATTTTTTTGCATAAAGCTTACATTAATCAGTAAATTGAGCTTCAAGCGCTGTGAATGAGTGACTTGAAGGTAATGGTTGATCTCAGTAGTTTTTTTCATAGTGCCCACACCACCGACCTAACTGACAGGCCCGGAAATGCTGCATGAAATCAAAACCAAACCAAAAGTGGCACCTGACATCAAACTCTTGGTTGTTGCTAACTTTCTCACATTCTCCCATGTGCTAGTCTGTTAACCTTGAGAGCTACCTCCTCAGGAAAACATGTTCATTAAATTCCCAGCAGGAGTCCCTACATGGGCTTCACCCTGTCATTGACAGATGCATGAATGACTCAATATGCGTCTGGATTTGTAACCTGCAAGGGCTTAAGAAAAAGCCTGGGAGACAATGGCAACTGGGGCATAGCTGCAGAGCCTTCAGTCTAAACAAAATCTCATTGTTCCTGTTTTCCACAGTTAGGGGGTTAGGCATATCCCCGCCCACCCCCCACCCCCATAAGACTCCCAGAACCTCAGTCCGCTGTCCCACCCCAGTCTCTGTATTCCACCAGCTCAGAGTGCTGTTAGTGGGGCCAGTAATTAAACAGGGCTGCCTCTCAGTTTCTGCACCTCCATGGGGGGAGTCCCTCCATGAAATGCACTCCTCATTCTGAGTCCAGACGGCAGCTGATGAGGGATTATCTGCTGGCAGAGGCATGGCATACTCCCCACCATAATCTTCAATTAGTTCAGTTCACGGTGATGTGTTGGGTGGACCTGCCACTACCTTTCCCACGGCTTCTTCATAATCACCACACCAATGTATTGACGAATGTGCTACTCACTTTGGTTATCTTTGAGTATCAGTTGGAAGGAGAAATTAGCTTGAAACGCCATCATTTTATTTTAGAAATAACATTTAGAACTTGTAGGTTTTAAGTAAACTTAATAACAAATTATATTTGTTCTTAGAAATAAGATTTCTTATACAAGATAATACAAATTATTCTTCTATTCAACTTCTTTTTTGTAATATTGGTTCTTTTGATGCACTAGTACTAATATTAATAAAATAACACATTAAAACACATTACAAATGTTTGTTTTATCCTGTCTTATACAGTTGGTCAATGATTCTGATGTCATCACCACATTAAAAAAACAAAAAACCTTATATTTAATACATTTATTGTGTCCTATTGGGCATGTTGTTGCACACCATGCCCAATGACCTGTTGACCTGTGATCCAGCATTTCACTCCAAAATATGTTTGATATAAATTCTATTACTATTTACTCATGAGGCTGGTCAGGATTAAGTTCAAGTTTATTTACTCATTTTGCCATGTATCACATGCAAATGAAAAAGGTACCCAATGGCATCATGGACCAACTTTTCGACA